AAAATTAATTGTGGAATATTAGAAAAAAAACCAACGAAAAATGGAAACAATAGACGCATCAAAATGATAGGGTCAACCGACGTAGTCTACAGTGGGTAGAATACAATTTTTGAAAGCAGCTTTTCTTCGTCTCCAAATTAAATCCTCCAAAAGCGACCGGTAGAGCTTAAAGCCTTAAACACATAGATTGATAATTCTTGTTATAATCTTCTTCATCGAACTAGCTCGAAAATATTTAGAGATCGCGAATTTCCTTGTTCATCCTCCTCGAGGCAAGTATCATTTTTTTATCCCTTATTTGCATTTATTTTGCTGTGTAAATTGTCTTCAATTGTAGCTCTGTTGTAAGGAGGATTGATGGGCATCTGGAAAATAGGGATTTCGTATGTGGGTCGTCACAATTCTGATTTTTTTGTTGAAGCTTTGGTGGCTATGTTGATTTGAAAATGATCTTAGTTAATCTGTGTACCGCAAATTGGTTGAATTTTACGTGTAAGGTCAGAATTTGGGTAAGTTCTGCAATAGATGAACGATAAGGATGGTGAATTTTTGTTAATATTTAAGCATTCATATTTCATAGCGCTGGCTATGTACAACAGTTGTATTTGATGTTGCCTAATTCTACCAAAATGGTGTTGTAAGGTTTTGCTTTGATGAATCACAAATTCTTGTATGAGGTTGTCTAATCGTTGTGCGGGTTCATACTTTTTTAACAAAAATGCATATGTATTATATGAAATGTCGTACTTTTGTTTATGATGTTTTTTGGTGTATGACATTTCAAATTAAAAGTATGCATATCCGTTGAGAGAGTATGGCTACTGAACCGTTAGGCCTGCCTCAGCCTTACTGTTGTTGAATTAGTATGATCATTAATTTCTGGGGTACACACTTCATATTATGCAAATCTTTTAGGCTGTGAACCTGAATAGTTTCACTCTTTCAATGAAATCCATGTCATGTTATTTGTATATTCTCTTATCATGTTGGTTGTTTTTCAAATGGAGTACGTATATTTTTCCTTCATTTTTGGAAGGAAAATGAAATTTACTCTTCATCTGCCTGTCTGCTCTTCTTCATTGCTGAGCCTTGAATCTTGATAGAAGTAAGTGATAGCTTTGTTCTTCTTTGGTTAAGGTACTCAGAGGAGGCTGTTGAAGGAAGGACCAAATATTATAATTCACTTCCTGAGGAGTACCCATGGATCAGAGTAATATAACTTTGCCTTTTGTCTTGGTTTCGAGTATACTTCAAATAGTCGAGATGTGGCCTATCCACATTTAGCTGATTTACAATATTGCCAATTTTCCATATCACTTTGCAGCATGTTCTCTTTCATATATATATATTTTTTTTTATAACAATTAGGCATTAGCGCAAGAAATCATTAAGTAATTATTTTCCTGGATTTTTCATCACCTAGAAGCCGAATATGATAAAATTGTTGGATTGCTGGAATATATTATAGTCTATATACATCCTAGTAATCAGCAAAAATTGAAAAGGGTAAACTTTCTTTTTGACGTCCTGACTGCAAGTGTTTTTACTAGAGTGAAAATTTGTTGGACTTTAGCCATTTCAGTTAGTTGTGTCCCTTGACGAGTGCGAACACATTCTAAAACATAGATAATCCAATATTTTGAGTCCATGGATTGGGTATGCCCTGCTAGAAAAATCCTTCTGAAACACTGCCCTCAGATCTCTCCAAGGCATGGCATGATATGGTTTGAATTGGAATAGAAAATCAAAATTCAGGACTAATAAACAACTAATACTGTATGTCGGGACTTATTGGTGTTACAGATCCTTCTGTTGAGGAGGAAGAGGGTAGAAAGGCTCTTGAAATGGGCATATCAGTTTCAGATAAGCATCTTGATCTTTTGAGGCCATCAGCTCGATATTATTCCATATTCAAAGGTAGTCATTACCTTTGTTTTTTNNNNATAAATAACTAAAACGAGGTTTTCTAGAGTGTTCATTTGAAATGTCTTGCTGATGCACCATCTCAAAGTGAATAATAATTCTATACCAGTTTTTTTCCCGATACTCGAGCTTTTAGCAAGGCCTTTATCAAGCCCAATCCTACTTTTTCTTTTCGGCCATTGTTTATCCTGTGTATGTGGCTGCTGCTCAGTAGTAGTATTGAGTTCCCCGCTGAAATTATATATCCTTATCTATTTGAAGTAAGCTATGAAACCTTTTTGCACCAGTAAGAAGGTAATTCCATGTTAATGTTGTCTTGCACTCTGTCTCTCAGTAATTGCTTTCTCCTTTCTCTGTTTTGTGCAATATCCTTTACATTCATTTCCGGTTGATTAATTACATGCAAAACTTATGTATTTTATAATCCCTCCATCTAGTAAAGCTAGCCTCGGTTATGTTGTCCTGCAGTTTAATAGAACATCATTGTTGCATGGATAAAAAAGGCATTCTATTTTGTTATAACCATGCGATTTTAAAGGACGCCATAAAACGATTCAATATTGTCCCTATTTAAATAAACATGCATATTTTTTTTGGGACAAACAAAAATAGTGACGAAGTCTATCTTTACGGAATGGAGAGAGTAAAAAGCAGCTTATTAGAAAATATGTGTTAATAGGAAAAGCAACAGATAGCACGGATCGCGAAAAAGGCAAGTATAGTCTAATTAGAGGTGAAGATGACACTCCACTGGGATTATACGATAAACCTCTTCCATGCTTTGGCTGTGGAATTGGATGGTTCTCGTAAGTGTAATTTTTTCCCACATACTTCATTTACTGCATTTTTTTCCTGTTTTACCCTCATGCAGTAATTACAATTTGACCTTACCTTTTCAGTTTTCTCTTGGGTTTCTTGTGCCCATTAATGTGGTATTATGCTACAATCTTGTACTTTGGGAATTATTATCGCAAGGATCCAAGGGAACGAGCTGGACTTGCTGCTTCTGCTATTGCTGTGAGTCATTTTACGTATCTTTGTCAATTTTTTTTTTCTTTTTCTTTTATGTTGAGTTCTACTCGAGAATTTATCTACGACCTGGTTTTGTACATTGCAGGCCATGGGGTGCTCTGTCATATTGTTGATCGTTGTCTTGGTTTTGATTTTCTAGCCGATCTTCGAAAGAATACACTGATGGATGTTTACTAGTATGAATGTGCAGTAGTAATTAATTTTATGTATACATGTCGATATCAATTCTTGACTGGTATAGCAAAAATGCTTTATAGAGTTTGGGTTTGTGAATCTACTCCTTATATGGGATGAAAAGCGATGTTCCATAGTTTGTTCATTGTCTGAACGAAGTTTGTAACTTGATGTTCCATATTTTGTTCATTGGCCTATTAAAGATTGAGCAAACATAGTTTGTTCATTGTCTTAACAAAATTTGAGCAACTTGCACAAAGGTTTGTTGATTGGTCTGATTTGCTGGAATAAACCTGTTGCCAGTAAAACCAATGTATTGAATGAATTGAGGTTGGTGTACGCAAAACTTTCGGTCAAATACAAGAAACCGCTTCACCATAAACCAGGCGCAGCTTTAGTTTGTTGCAACTAACCGAACATATTTGCCATCGACAACAAATCTCGAGCTTGAATTTATCTGCTCAACATTATAACAGTGTAGAAAGATGGAGTTAGAAGGAACCTCTTCAACTACACATTCTTAAGAAACAAAAACAAATGTTAAAAAACAACAATTAGCTTACCTTCTCCTCAAGAAATTCGAATACTTGCTTCTTGTCTTCAGTGTGGCCAGATTCTTTCAAAGACTTCATGACAAATTTCTTAAGCTTCTTGAATTTCATTGCACCATCTTCATTCTGCAAAATCCAAGAGAGATGATAAAATTAGAAATTAGTTAGTTATCTACTTCACCCCTATTTATTCCTTATGCCAAGTGTAGGCCATACTTCAAACAATTCAGTATTAATTCAAAAGGAAAAAGAAATGATCCATATTTCCTTTACAAACAAAGTCTTGATCCTAGAATTCCAACTTACTATAGACAATAAGTGATAAATTAGAAAATCAGTAAAAGAATTTATAAGCTAGAATCAAGGGAAAGTACGGATTTCAAAGCAGAAGTAATCAGCTTTTTCCACTTTATAGTCGTCTTGGCAACATCCTTGGACTTCAGTTCCTCTTCTTCCCCTGTTACACTGCTTGAGCATCACTTTTTCCAAATGCCTCGAGTTTTCTCTTTCTTGTTCATCTCCAAAGAGTTAGCCTCCAAACCAGAGCCATCAAGAGCAGCTTTAGATGAGTTTTGGTCTATTGGTTCAACTGACTCTTTATTTTCAGGAACTTCATCTGTTGCATTATTTCCATTGGAACATTTGGTTTCTACAGTGCCATTAGGCGGCTGTTTTGATGCATGGAAGGCTCTTGCTTTTGCCCCGTGCTTTTTCCCATCGGCATGGAGTGTTGTGGTATCATCCCAAGATCATACTCATAATTGAGAGAAAAATAAGTTTCTATTACTCACAAGAATAGAAACAAAAGATTTACAAACTCTAAAACAAAAAACTCTCAAACTCTCCCACAACTCTTCTTGGTTTTGTTTCAATACTCTCAAGGTTGATTGATCACACTCTTGGATGATTTCAATGAATGAAATGAGAAGCCTATTTATAGATACAATCAACCACACCCTTGTTGAAAAATGTGTGTGAAAGAGGACGGTGGTGGATGGTAACCATTGAAGACTACTCCACTTGTATGCTACAACTTTCTTCATTGGTATGCTTCTTCATTGTATGGAACTTTCAATTCTCCCATTTCCATGCAAATTCTGAACAAGCATTCATACTATGTCTCTGCATAGCTTAAGCTTATCCAGTGTAACCACTTTTGTCAACATATCTGATGGATTCTCCTTCGTATTGATCTTCACTAGTTTCAACAGCTTTTCGCGTATCCAGTGATGTCGAACATCAATATGCTTTGTGCGGGAATGGTACATAGAGTTCTTGCTTAAGTCAATAGCACTTTGACTATCACAATATACTTTATACTCTTTCTGCTTGATCTCAAGTTCATGGAGATAGCGTTTTAGCCACAACATTTCTTTACCAGCTTCAGCGGCAACAATATATTCAGCTTCTATTGTGGATAAAGCAACACACTTCTGCAATCTTGATTGCTAAGAAATGGCTCCCCCTGCAAAAATGTAGACATAACCGGAAGTAGATTTTTGACAATCAATATCTCTGGCCATATCAGCATCAGCATATCCTTCCAAGATAGGATCAGCTCCCCCGTAACAAAGACATAACTTAGAAGTACCCTTCAAGTATTTGAGAATCCATTTTACTGCCTCACAATGCTCCTTCCCGGGGTTAGAAAGAAAACGACTCACTACACCCACTGCATGAGCAATATCTGGCCTGGTACATACCATTGCATACATCAAACTTCCAACTGCTGAAGAGTATGGCACTGCAGACATCTCCCCCATCTCTTCCTTGGATGTGGGACATGATCTTTTGCTCAACTTGAAATGATTCACAAGCGGAATACCCACTGGTTTGGCATCACTCATATTGAATCTTTCAAGTACTCGTTCAATGTACTTCTCTTGAGATAGCCATAACTTGTTGTTCTCTCGGTCTCGAGTAATCTGCATCCCAAGAATCTGTTGAGCCTTTCTTAAATCTTTCATATCAAAAGACTTGGAAAGTTCTTTCTTCAGCTGACGTATCTTCTCTGCATCATTCCCAATGATCAACATGTCGTCGACGTACAGTAGAAGAACTATGAAAGCTCCGTTTGAGTATCTCTTGATGTAAACACACTCATCTGCAATAGTCTTCTTGTAACCTTGACTCTGCATGCATGAGTCAAACTTCTTATTCCACTGCCTTGGTGCTTGCTTCAGACCATATAAGCTTTTTGATAGCTTGCATATAGATTTCTTCTTTCAAATCTCCGTGAAGAAAAGCTGTCTTCACATTCATCTGTTCAAGCTCCAAATTCATACTTGCTGCCAAACCAAGTATGACTCGAATTGAGGTCATCTTGACAACTGGTGCAAAGATTCGTCAAAATCAGTCCCTTTCTTCTGTTGAAAGCCTTTGACAACTAATCGAGCTTTGTGTTTCACCATTTGTCCATTTGCATCTTTCTTTAGCTTGAACATCCATTTGTTTTTCAACGCCTTTTTCCCTTCTGGAAGTTTAACAATCTCATAAGTTTGATTTTTCTGCAGAGAATCTAATTCTTCCTGCATCGCAATCATCCATTTTTCTTTATCCTTATGAGATATGGCTTCTTGAAAACTCTCTGGTTCTCCATCTTCTGTCAATAGAAGGTATTCAGATGATGAGTATCTTTTTGATGGTATATGACCTCGTTCAGATCTACGAGTGGGTAGAACCATCTGAGAAGAACTCCAAACGTTGGCGTCTGGCAAAATGAGTTGTGGCTCCCTTTGCTCAGTCAAGATGGGTTGTTGCTCCCCTTGCTCTGGCAAGATGGGTTGTTTCTCCTCTTGCTCTGCATTCTTGTCTGTCTCCTCCTCTTCTTCTGGTACATCATCTTCATTGTTTCTCCAGAACAATTCTGGTGCTTCATCTAAAACTTGAGCACCCACATTTGACTTCTGAGACATCTTGAGTTTTTCTATGTCTTCTATTGTCAAATTTTCTTGGAACACAACGTCCCTACTTCTGATCACCTTTTTCTCCTTTGGATCCCAAAATCTGTATCCAAACTCTTCATCTCCATAACCAATGAAAATGCATGGGATGGACCTCGAATCGAGCTTCTTTCTGAGCTCTTTGGATACATGTGCATATGCTACACAACCAAATACTCTGAGATGTGAGTATGTCGGATTCTTACCAGTCCATATTCTCTCTCGAACTTCAAAATTTAATGGAACTGAAGGTGATCGGTTGATTAGATAACATGCGGTCTTGGCAGCTTCTCCCCAAAATGGCTTCGGTAATTTAGCCATATTCATCATGCTTCGGACACGCTCCATGATAGTCCGATTCATTCTTTCAGCAACACCATTGTGCTGAGGGGTACGTGGTACTGACTTCTCATGTCGAATGCCATATGTCCTGCAACATTGAACTCCTTGGAAGTATACTCACCTCCATTATCAGATCGGAGACATTTCAGCTTCTTTCCTGTTTCACGTTCCACCATGACGTGAAATGACTTGAAGTACTCAAACACCTGGTCCTTCGTATTCAGGAAATATACCCACACCTTTCGAGAAGCGTCATCAATGAAAGTCAGAAAATATCTGCTTCCACCCAATGATTCAACCTCCATGGGACCGCAAACATCAGAGTGTATCAAGCTTAACAACTCCGATCTCTTTGTTGAATTTGCATTGAATGAAACTCTATGCTGCTTGCCGAACAGGCAATGACTGCAAGAACCCAATGCAGCACTCTTATCAACCTTGATAAGATCCTTCTTCATTAGGGTAGTCAACCCTTTCTCACTCATATGGCCAAGTCTCTGGTGCCATAGATCCTGGGAAGCCTCCTCTGCAACATTGAGACTTTCTGTACTGATCTTCAAATGTGTTTTGTACAGCGTCCCACAAACATGTCCTCGGGCAATTTTCAGAACACCCTTTGACAACTTCCATGTGCCTGCACCAAAGTGATTGTCATATCCTTCTTTGTCAAGAGCCACCACTGACAAAAGATTCAGTCTGAGATCCGGCACATGTCTAACATCCTTCAATAGGATTGTAATCCTGGTTCCTGTCGTTGCCTGGATATCACCAATTCCGGCAATAACAGAGGAAATGGAATTTCCCATCTTCACCGATCTAAAGTGTCCAGCTTGGTATGTTGTGAAGTATTTCTTGTTGGGAGTAACGTGATAGGATGCTGCAGTATCTACCACCCATTCCATGTCTTCTCTTGAGACATGAAGGCATGTCTCACCATGGGTAGAGTAATATGCTACCTCACCTGAGACAGTGATGAGAGTTTCACCAACCTTGCCTTTGTTCTTCTGCTGAGAACTGTTCTTTGGCTGAGAATTGCTCTTGCCCTGCTCCTCGAGCCATTTATAGCAATTCTTCTTCATATGACCTTCTAGACCACAATGATAGCACACATGTGATCTCCGATCATCTGATTGCCTCCCCTTGCTTCTACCCCTGCTCTTTCCTCTACTGCTTCTTTGTTGCTTGCCTTGTGGTCTTCCTCGATTCTCCATTACAAGGGCATGGGTCTGATCTGTGCCCATGTCTTTCCTTCTTGCCTCTTCATTGAATAAGGCATCCTTGACAATGGAAATGGAAAGTTTGTCGTTTGAGGCTGAATTGCTGAGAGTAACAACGAGTGTTTCCCAACTATTAGAAAGGAACTAAGAAGTAGCAGTGATTGCATTTCATCTCTAAGCGGCATCTCCACACAAGATAGTTAATTTACCAGGCTCTGGAACTCACTGGTATGCAATTTCCACTTTTCAACTTCATATTGACTAAGCGCCTCATCAATAAGGCCTTATTCCGAGCGGTCTTGGCCTGGTACATGTCCTCCAGCTTCCTCCAAAGGGCATATGCGTCGGTTTCTTGTGCAACATGATGGAAGACACTATGGTATATCCATTGTCGGATTTGGCCAATAGTTTTTCTGTTGATTTTCTTCCATTCTAACGCCTTGGACGGATCAGGGTTAATACCCTCCAGCTCTATTAGGTCAAAAAGCTCTTTACAGCTGAGGAAATCTTCCATCTGAGGCTTCCACAGCGTATAATTGGTAGCCGTGAGCATAATCATAGCTCCAGAAGATGAAGTTGACTCTTCCAAGGCCATTTTACACCTTCAATGATTTGTTTGGGACAAATCAGAGCGGTATTTTGAAAAATGGACAACACCGTTGCGTCCGTAACAGCCGAAAATGGGGAGAGGGTGTTATTTTTTTTTTCACGGTGATGACATGGCAGTCAACGGATGACGTGGCAATTAACTGGGGTCAGATTACTGACGTGACAGTTGACTGGGACTGCTGACGGGGCAGTGACTGGACCCTCTTCGCTGACGTGGCAGGTGAGTGATCTGCTGACGTGGCAGATGACTGGACTGCTGATGTGGCTGGTGACTGGGCCTTCTTTGTTGACGTGACGATGACTTGTCAGATGACAGGGCACCACGTCATCATCTTCTTCACCAGAATTTTTTTTTTCTCAGAACTTCAGAAGGCTATAACTCTCAGCTCCGGTGTCCGCTTTTCGCCCGTAAGATACCGTTGCGACCGTCTCGACGAGACGAATATAACGGTGTCCTCGGAATCAAATTTCGAGTACGACTCAGAAACTGGAAATTTCTATAGAAGCTCGAAAAATTCAAAATTTAAGCTCGAAAGCTTCAGACCAAGCTCTGATACCACTTGTTGTGGTATCATCCCAAGATCATACTCATAATTGAGAGAAAAATAAGTTTCTATTACTCACAAGAATAAAAACAAGAGATTTACAAACTCTAAACAAAAAACTCTCAAACTCTCCCACAACTCTTCTTGGTTGTGTTTCAACACTCTCAAAGTTGATTGATCACACTCTTGGATGATTTCAATGAATGAAATGAGAAGCCTATTTATAGATACAATCAAGCACACCCTTGTTGAAAAATGTGTGTGAAAGAGGACGTTGGTGGATGGTAACCATTGAAGACTTCTCCACTTGTATGCTACAACTTTCTTCATTGGTGGGCTTCTTCATTGCATGGAACTTTCATGGAGGAGCATTGTTTGCTTACTTGTGGCTTTGGTGTTACATAGACTGGATTTTTTTCAACAAATTGACAAAAATATTAAGGCCATGATAAACAGGAAATAATGAGGTAGAAAAAAGTGGCAGATATGGCACGAAAAACTACTGTGCAGTACAAAAATATCACACACGCCCCAAAAAAATAAGAACAAGAAAAAANCACACTTCTCAAATCATAGTGGTAATGAAAATTCAGTAAATGACAAATAATAACAAATAGCTCAAGCAAATAAAACCAAGCTATATAACAGTGGAGCTTGTTATCCAAACTCGGAATTGTTCAGTGGTGAGCACTGTGATTAAGACGACACCAAACACTAAAAGCATCCAACGATGGATTTTCAAGTTATGTTATCTTCTTTATTTTTCAAAGATGCACCTTTTTAGCCCATTATTGCAAATTTCAGAAAACCATCATCTCCAAAAGTTAACGATCGAACTCGAACAACCAATTCTTTCATTTCGTTGTTGCTGGAGGTTATAAATATAATGAAAACAAAAACATGCCGTTTGGACTGAACTATATGATAACCTCACAAGACAAGCATTACCTACCATATGATACCTTCTTCAGTTTTCAACGTTTGCACCTTTCTAGTTCATTATTACACATTTTTAGGGAGTTGAAATTTGAACTCTAACAGCCAATTCTTTTGGTTTCTTCGTTGCGAGAGGTTATAATACAGTAAAACCAAAACAGAAACCATTTGGACTAAACTATATAATATCCACACGAGACACATGTTACCTACAGAACCACGGAGGCCGTTCAGACAATCCGACATTTATGTCGACCTCTGGTTTCGGCTTTGCATCATTCATGGTCTTAGTATTTGTTCCATTCGAAGCCTTTGTCTGACCCTTCGGACCATATTTTTCCTGTACGCATAACATGCAAAACATTTGTAAGACCACACATCAGATTCTGATATCAGAGCCATGTTCAAAGAGAGATGCAACTGAAACCAATTTTGGAGAGCCAGCTACACTCACAACACATGTACATCACAAGAAAGCAGCAAAAATCTGTGGGGCAAAAAAAGAAAAAAAAAAAGAAAGAAAAGAAAAAAACACAAACAACAGCCACAATGTATTAATCACAAACAACAAGGTGAAAACAAAGATGGAATTTTTCAACAGCAGGGTATAGAAATTACCGCTTCAGTAATGCACTGAGTGTGGCATTCAACGTCTTGCTGCCCAAATACCTGGCCACAATCGATGCACTCTGAAAAATCACAGTCATGCATAAGCAGAGACGAGTTAGCTACAGAAGCAAAAGAAATTAAAGAAAATGACACGAAATTTTATATTTCTTCCTTGAAATTGAAGAGGGGAGGGGAGGAAAGGGCAACAATGGCGTGGAATGTGAGAACCTTGAAAGCAGAGCATTGTCTGAAATGATTAGCGAGCTTGGGTTTCTTGAGGTTGTCTCCACAGTCGTCGCACTGAAACCACACCATGGCTCCCCAACCTCCACTGTGAGCGTATGTTCGAGTGATGAATCATCGGCTGGCCAGCAAGAGGGAATAATTGGATAGGGGGACAAGCAGTGCTAACTTAACAGCACCCTCTCTGCTGTCAGTGTGCTTTAATAGCCATTGGATCATATTACTTTAATCTAATGGCTCAAATTTTATTTTTTTTAATCACACAGCACAATAAAACCAAGAAAAAAATACATCATTTATATCTATATCTATATTTATACTAATATAAAAAAGTTGTTGAAAAAATACTAAAACAGAAAGTTGACTTTTTATTTTTTAAGTTTGACCTCCAAATAAGGATATCTCATAAAAAATCTGAAGTATTATTATTTTTCACAAAGATTTTAATCTTATAAATAACTTCCGATTTTATTTCCGTAGAATATGTTAACATATTTTCAATTTTATGTTGTCATTTTGTTTTAGTCTTAACAATCCCGTAAGATCATTTTTTTTTTTTTCTCAT